TTTCGTTGTTGCTGATGTTTGTATTTTTTTCTTTTCTTTCTTTCTTTTTCCTCTCTCTCTCTCTCTCTTTTTTTTTTTTTTTTTAGAAAAAGAACACAAGATAGAATACTGCCAACAGCAATATATGCAGAAACAATCCATATCTGAAAGGGACAAGATTCACTTGAAGTGTTAGCTTTCCCCTTTGCATAAGGTTTGGCATGTGACATGTGTGCAAGTTTAGGGGAGTGCGCGTGCATGTATGCAAAGAAATGACATACTTCATCTGAATCTGAAATGGCATAAAAATCAGGTACATAGTAATTGGGCAAAACACATTTGTTTTTTAAAAAATGTCAATTACAAACATTTTCTTGGAAACAGAGAAAGTTAAATGAAAACCGTAGAACCAAAGAAAGGTTACAGTACATTTTGAAATGATTAAAAAACATTATTTGCAAATCTAAAATCCTGTGTGTGTGTGTGTGTGTGTGTGTGTGTCTCTCAAAAGTGGCAGACCAACAGCATGAGTGACTTAGAATTATATTCGACCCCCCCAAATTAAAGCATCCTGATAGGCATCAAATACAGTATCTACAAAAGCCTGGAAAATTGAAACCATTATATACAATTTTATAAATATTTGAAACACCGAAACATACATCTTTTACAAACCCGCCTGTTTGTAACAGGTACATTTACAAGACAATCTCTCCGATACAGTGCTTAAAAAGAACTGCTTCCATTTCCTGAACATGTTTGTCACTTCCCCAAATGCAGTAGTATGGGCTCAGAAAGTTGTTAAGTAGTAGCAATTCAGGTATTTGTTTGCCGGAAGGGTGCTGCGGCCCATATCAATGGATCCAAACACACTTCAAATGACTGTACGATTCTCCAGTGCATCTTCAACACTGGCAGAGACTAATTATGGCCTTTGTGTATTATTACATACTTGTAATTATTGCTTTTCATTATTACATAAGGAAAGAAAATCTTACTTTTTCCTACTTCTTAGCCAGCTGGCTAAATATTAACGGATGCCAAACCCACAAATGGTGACTTTAAACCCTAGAATTATACAGCCAGAAGCTTAAAGCCGTTGTGGATTTCCACCAGAATAATGTGCAGTTGAACGTCGCAGGACAAAAACCAGCATAAACACGAAACCGCCTTCTCACAGACCACACAAAATGATGACTCTGAAGTAGCGCCTCTTCAAATCTCCATTTCTCATGGTTATGAAACTAGAAACACAAAACATAAAAAGCCTAACTACTTTAGCAGTATCTGTGCACTGGGAGGGTAGAAGTGTGAAGAAACCAGACAATTACCTGGGCAGGCCCTGCAAAATGAACACTAGGATCTTCCTGAATTCTTTCCCAGGGAAGTGTTTTCTGGGTCTCAATTCCCCCGACTTTGATTACGTAGACATAACATTAGTAGGGGCAGTGGGTGGGGTGGGGGTGGGAAGAAGTAGGAGTTGGCCGGTGGTATGTTTCTTTTACTTGCTTTTTTCCTAGGCTGTGCTAGTGATTCCCAGGGGCGGTTCCAGATAAGTTCCAGGAATGTATCATCAATTCCCTTTCCAGGCCTTCAAACTGATTGTCTGACAGGGTAAACCTCAAGTGCATAGACTTGACCTGCTCTCATTACAACTACTAGGTCTTGGACAATGGCATTTCATGACTGGGCAGGATGTGAGGAAATGGAAAGCTCGCACGGTATGGAACTCAGCAGCAAAATACTTGCGGAAGAAAGCAAATGAACACGTACGTTACTCATCGTTTACAGCCCCATAGCTGCTGCTAACTACAGGACATGCATCACCCACCCAGTCCCGATACTTTTAACCTAACAAGAATGTCTGCAACACAGGTGAAGTGCCAACAACAGGGTATGGAAAATGGCTTCTAGGAGGTAGCACATGCATGTGAGAAGAACAGGAAAGACAATTCCTGGCTCACCTATTTCCCATGTGGTTCCTCATGGTGCAAGGGGTAGGAACAAACATTGGGCCTGGTGGCGGGGGGGCGGGGGTGGAGAAACAAACGTTTCCAGTAGGAAACGTTATAATCAGAGTTTCACTATAATTGATGCCTGGTCTGAGTTCCATTCTGTAATTATCATACCAGCTTCACTTTAGCAAACATTCATTTGGTAAAAGCAGCATTTTGATAAATGGCCAAAGAAATGTGTGAACTCTGTGAGTGCATCCTTCCCAGGGGGGCTGCAAGGAAACATGAGATTGTAACGCTTCTAGGGAAATAATCTCCATGAACTCTCTTCTAGCATATTCCAAAGCAGGATGTGGGAGGTCAGTGGAAGCAGGCAGACACCATGTCCCAGGAAGGTTAGTGGCGAGTGGTATTGTATAGAAAGAATATTGGAAGAATAATGGGTTCTAGTCTCTGTTCAGCTACTTAACTTCCCGTGTGAGTTTGGTCAAGTCCCATCCCCTCTCTGGCCATGTTTCCTCTTTGATAAAATAAGGGGATTGGACAAGCAGATCTCAAGGACCCTTCAGGCTCTTTGAATCAGCAGTCACCTCACCTATTTCCATGTTGGCCTAACTGCAAACCATTTTGTAACCTACAGGGAAATCTGGTTACCCCCACAGGGAGAGGATGTCATGTGCTTAAAGGTAATGAATCACAACATAACACATGCTTGTCTGGTATACATTTAGCTGCAGAAGATCAGGGGAAGAGATGCTGAAGAGAGAGGTATTTTATATAGGTCAGAGCAAAGAGTGTGCACAATTTTCTTGGGTGACTTCACGAATGCATTAGGATCTATTTATTCCTTCATTACTGTGTCAGTCAGGCATTCTCCCCGGAGGAGATGCTGTGTAAGCAGTAGTGACTCATCGGCATTAATCTCATTGTAATGTTTCCTGGGGGCAAGAAATGAATTGTTGGTTTTACTTTGATGGTTTTTATGTCATTGCATTATTAAAAGTGTAGCAGTGATTCTATTATAGACCATTAGTTCATCATTTTCTCCGTGATTCTTGCAAATGTGCTTCTTGTATAAGAAAAATACCAGAGACTTTATTCTCAAAAGCAGCCTCAGTGAAATTCATTTATTTCAAGACCACAGTGCAGATAATGCTTCCATGAGTAGGTCCGACCAAGAGATGGGAAGAGGAGAAAAGCTGAGCAATCTGTGAAGTGTCTTGTGTACTTAGGAAGCTTGGGAATGAAAAGGAAGTTTTTTTTTTACAATGAACTTCAGCAACACTGACTCCTACAATGTAACAGACGGACTAAACACAACTGAAGCAACTAAAAATATGTCTGAGTGGATGATACACGGATTCAGGACAGTACAATTGACACACCAATGCCATATGTCACCAAAAACTGTGGACAAAGAGATTTGCTCATGAAGCAGATAGTGCAAATATGCATTTATTTACCATGGCCACTGTGCACGCGGCCATAATCTGATTGAAGCAAAAGAGGAAAGTCACTCAACTTGTTAACCTTAAGCTTCGAGTACTGGGTTATTATATTTCCGGTGGGATGATTCCCCCATCAAGTTGGGAAACTCCTACGGCCAAAGCCCACGTGTCAGAAGAGAGGAGAACCCCAGGTGTAATTAAACATTACACGTCTTTCAAATAAGAGTTTAGTTCTGGAAAACTATAACAAAATATTATTCTTTAAAAAGCACAAGTTTTGTTTTAAGTTAATACAAATGGCAGTACCAAAATAAAGTTAACTGAACCAGAGCAAAATATGGCATTTGGTGTTTCTCTAACATTGTAGAGATCAGAGAAACTGGAAGGTCTGCCTCACCGGCAGGATTTTCAACACAGTCCAAATCCCCAAATCTTCACGTTACCTTTCCTCAAGAGCAGCCTTATTGAGTGCAAGCACATATTTGTACATAGGCCCGGACACACACACTATTATAATTTATACACAAGAACTAATCTACTGTCTTCTTTTCCAAACATAATTGCATTTATAGTGATGACGCTACCAACTTGGGATAACACTTAGATTTGTATCTGCATTATCAGGAATTGTGATTATCCAGCTGAAAACGTTCAAAGTGTACTTCCCTTTTTTTCCTGAACTTGAATTCTGCTTAAACCTCTAACTACGTCTTATCCTAGAGAACAATGTGCTAAGGTACACCTTTTTTCCTTCTTTTTTCTTCCCTGATTCTCAGAACAAAGGCCAAATCTGCAGCAATGTTAAAACTGTAGCGATAGGAATATTTACTGGAAAACACAAAAACAGATAATCACATTCTTTCTAATGTGTGAACAATGTTAACTTTCTCCCCAACCCACAAAAGCGAGCCCAAATATCCTCATATTCCTCTCCATGGATACCCTTCTCAAAGATCATAAAGCCCAACTATATGGATGCTTAACACAAACAAACAAAAATAACTAAGCATACAAACCATGTTACCCAAACCTAATTTTATAGCTGAAAACTGGACAGCTTATTAAAGAAAAATAGAGTTGATTTTAAAGGCTTCAGCCCATTTTCTTGTTTATTCTTTTTAATAATATTTGTTTCTCTTTTCTTTTGCCTAAGAGACTAACTTTTCTGACCATCATAACTACTGTTTTAAACCTCCCCCCCACCCCCATTGGCTCAAAATGACATGCAACAATGCCTCTTTGCTGGTTGCCAGTCATTAATACTGCTGGCTCTGCCGTAATGCTTTCCAGGTCCCAATACTGCACAAAGCCATACAAGATGGGCTGTATAACCTAATGGGCGGAGTCGATCCCCCGTGTAGAAACTCGGTGCCTGGTCTTGATCGTGAACACAGGTACCCACTGCAAGGCTATCCATCACCTCTAAGAAACCATTGGAGCCTTTCCTTCCCACCCAGCTGGAGCGGAGCTTATCCGTGACAGCAGGACTTGTGAAGAAGTTCCTGGCGCCAAATAACGTGTTTCTTTCCGGCTGCGGGCTGTAGAGACACGAGGCCGTCCAGCCTCCTTCCGCAGTTCAGCCACAGACAGTGCTGTGAGCCCCGCATAGGCGCGCTGTCTACACCTGGGTCTGGTGTTGAGCCTCCACAAAGGGAATGTGCAGGCTGGCGAGGCTGAGCTCTCCCACGCTCTCGTAGTCACTCATGGCTGCTTCGGAATCGTCAAAGCCGCAGCTGGCCGACACATCCGAGGACGAGGTGCCTCTGGAATTGTGCAAGGATAGAGACACACTGTCCGCTGGGCCGGCTGTCTCTGCGCCCTGGTTCATGCTCACAGCAAAAGTACTAAATTCACAGGCGGCAGGCGGGCCCACCAAATCCGTGTCATTGGGGAATGGGTGGGGAGGGAGGTACTGGCTGGGGTGGAACTGAGGCCTTCTCCTGCAGTCCGGGCTCAGGGTGCTGGCCAGTGAGACGGGCTGGGAGGGGGGTAGGGCCTCGTATTGGTCTGGGAAATCCTCTGGCAGGGGAGGGGGCAGCTGGTCCTGATTCAGGAACTCCTCTTCATGGGGGGGTGGGTACTCGCTGTCGATGTCATAGCCGCCCAGGTAGTAATCACTCTCCAGCTCCCGCGTGCTGCCCTGGTGTGCAGACCCTCCCTCCTGGTTCTCGTAGTTGGGCACTTCCTCAATGTCCGACAGGCGGGCCCCGGGCATCCAGTCAGAGGTGTCCCAGTGATAGGCTGTGGGACAAAAGCCGTTGACAGTTAATTTCCTCCAGACTGCAGCTGGGGCAGGGCTCTGCAAGGAGCAGAGGGGGTAACCTGACATGCAATTAATGTCCAAGACACCCTGAGACGCTGGGGTCAAGTGCATGCTCCTTATAAGGGCTCTATCAGGGACCAGCCATGCTCTGGCCCTGGAACAATGAGGCGATGGCGACTCTGAGAGATGGTGCCTGGTTTTGCAGAGCCTTACACTCAGCCATGCCAGAAGGGATGGCCAGCCGGGGCATGCTGAGGAAACATAGTTCCAGCACCCCTCCCCGCTATTCCCTCTTCCTTTCCACATGCTAAATGCCGAGCGAGGCTGGATGCACACTCCCATAGAGAGGGGTGCATGGGCCATACTGTGGTCCACAGAAGGCAGGGGGATGCATTGCACACGGATGAACTGCACGCACAGTGCGGAGGCTGGGGGTGGGATGCTGGAGGGGCTTTCACCTCCCAATGCCAAGCACACAAGACACCTGGAACATGCAAAATTCAGATCAAAGAAACACAGAAAAGATGGAGGGAGAGGGACACAGAACGAACGAACTTGGCAATTCAAAATGCATTAAGTAAATGTGATGCCGGGGTCATGGCAGAGTCACCTCGGTTGTAGTTCTGTCCTTGATCGATGATAGACACTGTTTAAACACAAAGTGAGAGGTAAACCTGGTAATCCAAGCCATGTGAAAAGGGTAAAGCAGGACATCTTCAATGACTTAAAAAAAAACATGCTCCTGTTTCTCCTCATTGTTGTTTAGGAAATAAAAAGATAAATCTCGTCTGTACCTGGCCCCAATTGTATTAAGTCACTGATAAAAGTTACCTGATTGAAACCAATCCCCCTAGGATTATAGCTTTGAATGATTCCTTAAGTAGTTCCAGCTCATAATAGGTGCTCAGTGATACATGTTGAATGTAAGAAGGAACGTAGTAGCAATCTGGATTCCAAATGATTGGGTACTCTTCTCTTAGAAGGGATTTTATTAAAAAAAAAAAAGAAAAAAAAAGAGTACCCTATCTATTTAAAAACTTATGAACTGGATTTTTTTCCTTCAAAATTGTAAAATTCATTCTAATCTCTAGAGAAACATCCGGTGTCCCCTCAGTTACCAGCTTATTAAAATCACCCCTAGATCAAAGTAACAAGGAAGCCCTATTTCCCAAAGGATAACTCTACACAAAGAAATGCTACGGAAATAAAGTAAATACCTTCATTCTCTATAGTGTCAACTACATTGTTGACAAGCTGAATGACAGTCACAATGGACGCTTGTGGCCAGGAAAAGAAGACGGGGGGAAGGGAAGGACAGTTTCAGGTTAGTCATGTATTTCAGATATAAGTGAACTTCTCTTCACAACAATGGCAACAACAAAGGCGCGGCATGCAAACACCCAAAACCTCCCCAGTTCGTCCAGTAGGCAGTGCTCTGATGGACACTTTTATCTGAGGGTCCTGAGGATACTTGGAACAGAAGGGAAACGGTGGCAAATCTGGGGCCAGTCCTCTGAAAGACATGATCGGCAGGGATTGCTGGATCATAAATTCACACCTCATGGCCCAGTGAAATCAATCTAGGAAGGCAGTGGCTCATCAAACTCATGCTAATTTCTCATTAATAACTCCTGACGGCTCTCCAGGGAAGGCCTCACTATTCTCACGGATAATTATTTGTTGGTCAGCCATGCTGCTCCAAACCAAATGCCAGTGATGGGGGATATCCTTTGCAGGACTGATAGCTTCACGCTCACATGATGCCACTGATAGCCTAGAACAAGCCAGAGCCCAGCTTCTACTGCTGAAGCACTCTACTGGAGTCAGCATCTGGCCTCTGAAATAGTTCGAATCTGGGAAGGAGAATTCTGTGCTCTATACGGGTTGATTTAGCACCCAATAGCAGCAGCTCATGGTGACGTAATCAGGCTTAAAATTAACTTGTTGAAAATTCCTACCACCACACCCTTTAGTCTGGACCAACCCAGAATGTTAAGCATGAAAGCCCAAATGTGTGAGCTTCAGGGCACACGTAGCAGAGCCTGAGCACAGTCAATCAGCTATCAATGCCGGAGCTCTGCCTGGAGTTTGGAAACTATCTGTTCTCGGGTGCTTCTCTATAAAATGCAAACCAGGGGCACCTGGGTGGCTCAGCTGGTTCACATCCGCTTTCAGCTCAGGTCATGATCTGATGGTTCGTGTACTGACAGCTCAGAGCCTGGAGCCTGTTTTGGATTCTGTGTCTCCCTCTCTCCCTGCCCCTTCCCCACTCACGTTCAATCTCTCTCTCAAAGATAAATAAACATTTTAAAAAATGCAAACCAGCAATAACTTTTTTCCAGTTGAGATGTGAGAGAGAGTAAGCATTAAGGCAAACAGATCTGATAGTGTGCCCTTGACCTTCTGAAGTCAGTCAGAAGAGATCTACTCTGATATTGTTGTTATTCCAGCAGTCAGATACACCGGGCTTCTGCACCTCTAAGGAGTGCCCGGGTATTAGGGTGGAAGAGATTTGGGGATGAGGGTGGTGAAAGTAGATTATTTTACTTCCAAGATTGCTTCTATGGCCTTGGAGCTCATGTGTTCCTATATTTACCTGGGGGTGGGGGGGGAGCAAACACTATGTTGTTTTCATTTTGTGCTTCTGACTACAAAATACCCAACATAGGGTTCAGCACATAGGAGAAACTCAGCATGGGTTTATGGGTTGTATGATTACATTAATTCATAAATCAATTTTTACCAATCGCTTATTTATGGGAAAGTGAAGTAAAGTATAGACTAAGGTAATGTGGTCTCTGGGGATGAATACTTGAAACTGTTCTTGATTCACCACCATACAGTGAGCTCTCACTGTTTTATGACCACTCCTGCTTCATCCCCTGGCCCGGAGAGACCGACCCATCCTCCAAAGCTGGTTCCTCAGCTCAGAAAACCCAGTCCAGCATTAGTACCCTCTCCATACATGTAAGTTCCCAAGAGGTAAGGGTAGCAGCTCCAGAGTGTCAGTGAGGTCCAGGAACCACATGGAATTTCGTGCAACATACTGGGTACATTGGGTGTCTGCCTTTTCTAAGGAGCTGGTCCATAACCACAGTATTCACAGGTACTCCAAAGACCCATGACCCCAGGTGATGATAAGGTGAATTCAAGTGAAATAGGATGCCACTTCTATGGAAAGAAGTCTGTGGGAAGGAGGTCTTACCTCTGATTTCTCATGATGGGAAGGCTGGATATACAGTGAAGAGTGAAGAGATCACCAGTCATAAAATTTAAAAAAATAAATCAGTTTTCTAGACAGTGTCATTTGGGATGAGGTGGCTCCATTATGAAAAAAATCAGAGGACGCATTGTCGGAGGTCAGGAAATTTCATCAACCTCTGACATGGACCCCTGGCCTGCCCACAGCTGCAGCTCAATAGGTCATCCCTCAGCAATGACCTCCAACAGTGGGGTCAACCAAAATGCTGATGAACGCGCTCACAAGTTCATGATCAGGTCACAAAACAGACCGGGTGACATCACCTTCCTCCCGCCCACTGACCGCCTGCACAGAAGGCAGAGCCCACCTAGGGGAACACATCTGCAGACTGCTCACCATTGTCGTCGCCAGAATCCGACTGGAAGGAGCTGAGAGACTGAACTTCAGAGTTGCTGCCTTTATTACTGCCTGCAAAGCAGGTCACTTCTCCCGCATCATCAACCCCTTTGTCTTTGTGGACAGCCAAAGAGAAAGAAGAAATGACACCAGTTACCTTGTGCGTATTTCTGGCCCTCCCACCCCCCAGAGTTCACTTCTCAGAGCTCTTTCATTTGCTTCGAGAAAATAATTTAGCTCTACAATAGAAAATTGATTGTGCCACTGGGGGCAAAGGGCTGTCAATCAAGTGATTTACATTATGGATTCGGAACCCTTAACCCGTGGTAAATGAGCTTGCAAAGAGCTGACAGCCGAAAGTGGCTGTTCCCTCCTCAAAGTGAGGCGACTAAGTGAAGAGTAGAAGGCAGGATGAAGTGGCTGTGTTGCTCTTTGCCATTCAGAGTTAATTTAAATCATTTACATGAACCGATGTGGTGTCAACACCAGGTTAAATGAGATTACTTATAAAATAGGGGTATAAATATTTTACAGGCAAGAATGCCATTACGTTCATCCAAACTTCCATCTCTGGGGAGCAAGTGGCATTCTCAGCTTCGCCTTCTAGAGGGCAGCGTCACATCAGTTTTGGGAATCACTGGCGTTTCGGCACTGTGAGTGGTAGGGGGCCATTCAGCGGTGTGGACCTACTCTTATCTACACACTTTCTCTTTCTGGCTATGCAAAGACAGCCTGAACAACACACATATCACACACACACACACACACACACACACACACACACACACACACTACAGGGCTATTGTCTTACTTGATGGACTAAAGGAAGCAATAAAAACAACCCATATCTTGAAGTTGTCAAGTAAAAAATGAATTAGTTGCCTAGAGATTGTGTCGCCAGCTAACTCTGCCTTGCTTAACAAAGAAGGGAATCTACTCAATAAAAACACAACAATACTTTGGGGGGAAATGTGAGTTTTGGTCTGAGGTAGATTCTGGAAATAAAGCTGTCACATCATGAAGCGAGTGGAGGAAAAATGATCACCAGGAAAACCTTCAAATCATCGCATAACACGATGGGAAGAAGAGACAGTGACTTGTGATTAAGGGAGCAGTTGTCCCTCTTTGTGACTGTAGAAATCACTGTTTCTTCCACAAAAGGTGATGTCAGTATCGGGCACTGTGGCTCCACACCTGCTGTCAGACACTGAAGCCACAGCAGAACGATGAGGTGAATAAACAGCTGATATAAGTGGAGAGAGATGCCCGAGAGGAATTCTTCTCCAACAGCCACACTGCCAAAAAATATGAGGGCATGCCTCAGAAAAGCACAAAGTGAGGCCCTTCGGCTTAACCCTGGACACTAGGAAGGAAACAACAAATGATCCTCCCTGATGAATGCTGTGTATACAACTTCCTTCTCCACTTCCTTCATTCAACCTCCTCTTTCTTCATTGCTGAGTAGAAAAGAGCCTTTCTAAGAGCTGGTGGATTGGCAAGGCTTTCGTAAAGACTAACTCTACAGATCTTTTGACAGGGAAGGGTTAAAATCCAAGGGCAATGACTGACAATATGGGAGTGTCTACAGAAAGGCAGAATCAGCAGCTTGTGTGGTTGGGGCAGCCCTAGAAAAGAAAAGAACCCCCCTCCCACCTCCCCTTGCCGCTCAATCATCAGAGGTCTCTCTCCCTCCTTCCTGCTAAAGCTCTCGAGAGCAGTGTTGGTAAGAGCACAGGCTGTGGGTCCAGATGTGCTGGGTTCTAGTCCTCATCCCTCTTTTTACTATCTCCTTGCCCTCAAGCCACTCATTTCATCCCTCCACTCCTCCCCCGGGGTACCCACACGGGCGGCAGTGAGGCTTTAAGACCTAATACACGGCAGTGGAGGCATGGACTGCTTCTGTCTTCTCACCAAATCTCTTCCTCCTTAATGTTTGCATTCTGGATTCTGTCTTGATGACTCACTAAAATGCTCTTCTGATGACTAAGAATCTTCTAGGTGTCAAGCACAGTATTGTTTTTTCAAGCCTGTGTCCTTCCTGACGATTTTACAGTACTCAACCCTGCCAACCTTACTGATGGTTTTGGCTTCTGCAGAGCTACCCTGTTGTCTTCCTCTGCTCTCTTCGCTGGCAAGGGTTTGTCCCTTCCTGGCCTCTCCCTCCTTCCACCTCGCACACGTAGGCATCTCCACATCCTTCTGGAGGCCAGGTCTGATCATCTGGTCTTTGTTCTTGCTCCCTGGGTGAGCTCACCTCTCTTAGAGATTCAACAACCCTGCAAGCAGATGATGTCCAAACTTTCATCTCTAGCTTCACCTTTTTCCTGAACAACAGAGCCAGACACCTGTCAGGTAACCTTCAGGTGCCCCTGACATTCATCAAGCTGCTTCCTGCTTCTGGAAGGCCCTCTCCAGTAGTTTCCTAACCCAAATCTTACTTATGCTTGAAGGAATTCCCCCTTTCTCTACAAAGATGCCCTTACCTGGAGGGCTGTATATGCTCTCCAGCTCCATTTGAAAGCAGCCTCCCCTGGACCTTCTACCCCACACGCATCATAGTACTAAAACCCCAGCCTTTGGAAATTCTTCCTCCCAGGGCATCTCTGCTGCTGAAATATAGCCATTTGGCCTGATGAAAAGTCAAAGGTTACAACAGAGCTTGCATTAGCTTCATCCTGACTCGTGTTAGGGCAGGGAAAGCAATCACCATTGCTCACTTAGATGCTCATGGAAGTTAGCTAACTCGTCTCTGCTTTCTTTCCTCTTTGGTCCTTCTTAGTCTGTTCTCCATGGATCAGTCAGACCCATCTTTTAAAAATGTAAAGTCGATCATGCCACTCACCTGCTTAAAACCCTGCCCTGATGTTGCCATTAACATCCATTAACTTTCCCTTGTTGCTCACCCACCTGCAACTACCTTGACCTCCTCTCTATTCTTCAACATGTCAAGGTCTTTCCCACCACAGGACCTTTGTACCTGTGGCTCTTTCTTTGGGCTAGAACACTGCTGCATGAGGCCTAGAGGAGAAGGAAACACCACTATCTGGACCAGACTTTTCCTGCCTTATGGGTCACCCTCCTGTTTCATAGACTGAGCATTCTAGCCAAACAGAATGGTTTGCTCGTCTTTGGATTGTGTGGTTCCCTCCACCTCTCCCCAGACCTTTAATGCACCATGGGTCCAACTCAAATATCCCTCTGTTCCTCTCAAGTCTTTACCCTAAGCTTAGAAATAGTCTTTTCTTCTTACCTTCTGGAATACATTTCCTGTTTATCACTTATGTCATTACGCTGCTTGCGTTACCACCAATGGTGTGCCACAGTGAGTAGAGCATGGGTTTTTAGAGCTGACAGCTCTGGACTGGCCCACCTGCTCTGCTTTCTCTTACTAGCTATGTGCCCTACCTTATGCATGCTCTCTGAGCCTCATTTTCCCCATCTGTAAATGATAAGAACCTGATCAGTTGTTCTGAGCATTCAATGCCAGAACACATCGCAACGAGTGCTTTGTGCAGGCGGGTTCTCTCTCCTTTCCCTGCTTTCCTTCCGCAGTGCCACGCCACAGCTTCCCCAGTGACCCTAGAGGGACGAACAGACACACCATAGCTTCCTACTCACTGTCGGTTCCTGCGTCCCAGCCATTTTTGCGGATGGAATCGCAGTCCGAGCGGCAGGGTGACACGGCGGGCAGGTTGGGGGCCACGCTGCACACGACCACACCGCGCCTGGCAGTCAGGATGCGCGGCGACTCAGGGTGGAACGTGGTCATCTCCTGGTGCTCGCCGCCCAGCCCGTCAACGATCTTATCCAGGTTGCTCCTGGAGTCGCTCTGGAAGCACGGCGTGTAGGCCATGGGGCGCACGGGCACCTGCGGGGGCCCCACCTCCTGGTACAGGTTGCGGCCCGCCCCGCCGCCCCGCAGGTTCCGGAACGGGATGCCGTTGCTCTTGTTGAGCAGGGCGGCCGTGGCGGGGTCCTGCACCAGCGTGATGTTGTTGCGCGAGTAGTTCTTGCGGAAGACCTTCTTGCGGAAGACGATGAAGAGGATGACCAGGATGAAGATGACGAAGAGGACCACGGCGATGCCGATGAGCTCCTCCTTGCCCACGTACGAGTGGCCTGCCTGGATGTTGGGCACGACCACGGGGCGCAGCCCACAGTACTGGCCCACGTAGCCCGGCGTGCAGTTGCAGACAAAGGAGCCGAACACGTTGACGCAGGCACCCCCGTTTTCACACTCCTCCCGCTCACACTCGTCCACGTCCTCCTCACACCTTGGGACAAAACACGGAGTCCCTCAAACAGCAAGCCCCGCAGCTCCATTCCCAACCGCCTTATCAAAAAACACAGAGCCCAGAGGGCACGTGGAGCGTGACAAAGGTAGAGCGAGGGTGTGCGAGGGCGTCGGGGGTGGCTGGGCACCTTGGGGGTGGTGCCCTGAGTTGTCACGGGGAGTTAAGGGATTTCTCCTGAGGGGATGGCTCCCAGATGGTCTTGACCTAGCCAGATGGGAGTGGGGCAAAGACTGGGGGGGGGGGGGTTGGGGGTCGTGGGGGAGAGAAGGAGCAGATGCTGTTAGAGAGATACTAGTTTTCAAATCCTAGGGGCCAGGTGCATTTGAGTTTAAATTTCTGCAGTGTTAGAAACGTCATACAGTACATGTCTTTCATGCTCTGTCAGAAACACGCCCCACTGCTGGAAACATGGGTCTGGCACAGGACCCATAATCAAATATGCCAGTGTTTCTACAATAAAGCATATGGATATTCACACTCAATGAGAGAAATAAAGACTAGAAATAGTCTCCGAGCAGCTTTGGCTGGTTTTGCCAGGGAATTAGTTTGCGACCAACTTATCCTTAATCCCTTTATTTCTTTGAGCTTTTGGGATTGTAGAATTACAGAGAAAAAAGCAGTGAACCTCTGTACCTTGTATAGAGTTTCCCAAGAGGAAGAAATCTTTGGTTCTGAAATATTCTTCTAACAGTTACTGTAATTTTTGGTCTCTCTGGGAAGCATGTGTGTGTGTGTGTGTGTGTGTGTGTGTGTGTGTGTGTGTATGCACACACAGGTGCAAGAGAGGCTTAGGCAAAATAGGGAGTAAGTGGGTAGGTGGAGGGCTACATATCTATATATTTTACAGATTCTGTGCCTACAATAAAGGTTAATGCTAATACAGATTATCAGGAAAGAATGATTAAAGCATTCTAATGAAAAATAATTAAATCAATTTTATTCTCTTTAAAGGAATCCGTGACTCACTTCAAGTATAATTATAAGGCAAACATCTAAGTCTTATTCTTTCTTAGTTTAACGTTATGTGAGAATGTAGACCTTCCTTCTCCTCCTTCATTTTTCCCTACTTTAGCAATTGCTCTGATGTGTTCATTTAAAAGGCACGATCACTTATATCTTTGGTAATCCACCTTTTAAAATGTAGTCAAACATCCCTAATTTGAACAGATTGAGGCCAGGTCATTCGGAAATTAGAATCACAGAGTATTTAAAAATAAATGCAGCTTTATTACTTTAAATTACATCCAATGATTCAAAGTCGGCTAAGTATTTCCTGGTAAAGTCCTCGGGAGATTTGCTTTAATGAATACATAAGACTGATCTGTAATTAGAATATCACTTGCTTGAGATTACATATATATACTTCTCAAATGATCAAGGATGGTTGGAAGAGGCATTTTACTAAGAGCTTAAAACATTCCCTTTCCATTTGGCTAACACTTTAATTTCCCTCATTTCTTGGGGGAAAAAGGGTATGCAAAGGAGAGGTATGTTTTAGTTTCTCAGAATGATCATAAAATGTTAGGCAGTAGAGTCCAGTTAATGACTTCTGGGGACACGGCTAAGATGTCTGCCTCAGAATGATACTAGAAATATTAGGGGTCATAGATGATTTCCTTTAAAAGGATTGCTTTCCTAATTAGAGAACACATGGGAATTATGGAAAAATCTGAAAAATAGGTAAGTTTAAAGTAAAAAGTATAAATTACCAGTAACTCAATTACCCAGAGATCATCCCGGTTAAGATTTAAGTCATTCGTAAGCCTTTTTTTCGTAGAGATATTAACACTTTGCCTGTCCTACTCGTGGTAAATATTTTATCCCAGTTTGTTGCTTACCATTTTGCTTTCTTAGGGACAAGAAGCAGCAGGGAGAAAGACTGTTTCCCAGTCTCTCACTTACGTGACTCCAGTGAGCCCAGCTTTGCAATTGCAGATGAAAGTGTTCCCTATTGGGTCGCAGGAGCCTCCATTCTGGCAGGGGTTTGGGAAGCAGGCTGTGATCTCAGACTCACAGTTTCTCCCGGTGAACTGTGAGAGACAGGTACACTGATAGCCTAGGGAGAAAGAGGACCTCGTGAGCACAGACACCACTGGCCATATTCAGAGTGCAGGGACTCCGCCACAATGTGCCCTCCTACCTCTTCCTAAACCAAATCTTTGGCAGGGCCCAGATTCCAAAGATGACTTTCAAATTGGTTATTTTTTTAAAAAGATTATTTATTTATTTTTGATAGAGAAAGAGAGAGGCAGAGAGAGAGGGAAGCAGAGAATCCCAAGCAGGCTTTGCGCTGTCAGTGAAGAGCCTCATGGGGGACTTGAACTCATGAATTGTGAGATCATGACCCGACCCGAAATCGAGTCAGACGCTTAACCCACTAAGCCACCCAGGTGCCCCTCAAATTGTTATTTTGAAGTTGGGACACACTTGCCACAAAAATGCCATGTAATGGTTTGGATTCCCTGCTAGTTAACTGCACCGAATTAACCGAATACCTAAATGCTAGTGAGAATGGTAAGAAGACACCCAAGATTCCAAGAACAGAGGCCAAGACAGGGGGGAGATGCTTTGCCCAGCACACAACTACATAAAAGGCAGGGTGTTTCCAGGGAGGAGCAGTTTACCATGGGTGCAATGCTAGTTTGTTTCCGGAACCCCTCTCTCACCCCCGTGCCCTTTCTCCTTAGCTGAGCACTACAATCCGCCATCTCCATCCACCCCCTCCCCACCCCCCACCAACCTATTGAGGAAATGAGGAGAGCACAGATAAAATGAGGATATATAGCAACTCAAATAAGCCTTAGTTTGATATATGCACAGGGAAATGGGAGAATCCCAGCCTTTACCCAGCTCCCATATTTGGATCCCGATTTTCACATCTTTGCCAAAGTTCTCCACTCTTGAACCCATCATGAGGAAATAGATAGTAATATCCCTACTGCAAAGAACATCAAATATCAGAGTAGATAAGATTCTAAAAGGACAACGGCATTATTTACCTCTCAGAGATAGAAAGGATGAATAATTAGTAAGGACTTTCTTTCTCCCTACTTAAAAAAATTAAAATACCTTTTTTCTTTAAAAAAAAAAATTAAAGTTATACATTCACATAGTAAGGAGCAAAGATAGTTCTACAAGTCCTATTTTGTACACCAGTAGCCCCACATCCCATTGAACAGAAAAGTGGACCTTTGAACAACATGAGTTTGAACTTCGAAGGTTCACTTATGTGGGACTCTTTCACAGTTCAGTACTGTGAATGTATTTTCTTTAGGATTTTAATACCATTTTCTTTTCTCTAGCTTACTTTTTGTAAGAATGTAGCATATAATACATATAACATACAAAATGTGTGTTAATCGACTATGTTATGGGTAAGGCTTCTGGTCAACAGTAGGCTATTAGGAGTTAAGTTTCATCCAAAGGTATACCCAGATTTTCAAATGTGGGTGGGGGTTTGGCACCCCTCTCTGTCATTTTCTTCAAGGGTCAACTGTACTTATCGTTAATTCAACACCAGACCCTTCATGGACTAGGTCTCTCTGTGTCATCTCTGTTCCACTGGTGTTCTATACTTTAATCTCCTGGAGACATCTTTCCTCAAGGCTTTCTGACTGGCTTCCCCCTGAATAGTGCTGGCTCATCCTGCTGGGGCTGCTGTCCTGGGAGCGCCCTCTGCTGGGCTGCATCTAGTGTTTGTGGGATCACCTGTTTTCCTAATTTCTTGGCTGCCTCTTATTTCATTAGGACACGTTCCACAGTAGCTTCCCAAGAAAGGGTTTACAGGAAGTCAGTGTTGTGAGACCCTGCATAGCTGAGCCCTGCTTTACTTCACCATTTCCCCTCTCTGGTAGGCGGCGTACAGAATTCTGAGTAATTCCCTCCATGTAGTCTTTGAGAAATTCCAGGCCTGTTCAGTTCCTGAAGTTTGTACATGGCCTGGTTTCTTTTCCTTTCCGACAACATGGCGGTTCTTCTCTTGGCCCCCAGCTTCCTGAGATTTCACAATAACATACTTTAGTATGGGTTTATTTCAGGCAACATGGGGCACTCTGGGAAGTCCTGTTCTTTAACTTTGGGAACATTTCCTTTATCGTTTCATTGATGATTTCCTTTCCTTTGTTTTCCCTGTTCTGTCTTTATGGAAGTTTTATGGTTTGGATCTCAGATCCCCTGGGTCTTCCTCTAATTATTTGTCTTATATTACATCTCTGTGGGTTTTTGCTGTGCTTTCTGAGAGATTCTTATCTTCTGAAACAACTTCTACTGAGATTTTCATTTATGCTGTCATTTCCAAGGGCTCTTATTTTGTTCACTGAGGTTTTGTGTGTGTGTGTGTGTGTGTGTGTTTTCTAAACAATAGCATCCTGCTCATGTTTTGTGGTTATAATATCTTCTCTTATCTCTCTGAGGATATTAATATATTTATGAGGTTTTCTCCCTACATAGTTTTCTCCAAGTTCTTTTTTCTGTTTCTTTGTTTTGGTCTCTGTGATGGTAAATTTTATGTGTCACCTTGACTAGGCTATGGTGCCCAAGTGCTGGACAAACACCGTCTAGATGATGCTGTGAGGGTATCTGTGGATGCGATTAACACAGTCAGCTAGCTTTAAGTATAGCTGATTACCCTTATTTATTCAGTTGATGGCCTTAAGAAGGAGGAAGTCTGCAACACAGAAATTTTGCCCAAGTTTCCAGCCTGCTGGCCTGCTCTGCAATTACAAATTCAAGGTTACAACATCTACTTTTACATGATTTTCCAGCCTGCTGGCTTGCCCTATAAATATCAGACTTGCCAGTCCTACAATCGTATGAATCAATTCCTTATAGCCTATCTATTATCCACCCATCCATCCATCCACCCATCCATCCTACCTATTATGTTTCTCTGGAGAAGCCTGATACATCCTCTATCCTACAAATTAGAGGATTTCCTACCTTGTCTGGCAATCCTTCCTTGGCCCTCAGATTGTAGAGTGGCGTGGCAGGAAACCAGAAATCTGATGGGAAGCTCTGAGCACATGAATGGGTTTTGTCAACTGAGAGACTGTTTTAGTACCATTGGTATGGGGAACCCAGTAATGACCCTTATCCCCTGCCCAGAAGAGTGAAGGCCTGGCTTCTCACATTCGGGAGATTGGGTGGTGGCAGAGGAGTGCTGACTGTGGGTATCAGCATCAAATGAACACATCAGACTTACTTTTACCCTCCACTCCCCCAAGTGGCATCTGCTCCCTGTCTTCTCACCCCTGCATTTCACCATCACCGGAAGGCTCTGCCAGGGTGTGGGGGGAGTGGTTACCTGGCCACGGAGAGAGATTGGGAGTCTGGGGTTCTAACTGCTTACACACACTTTTGAACAATTCTTATTTTAAGCCCTTCTCCCTATCCCTTCCCCTTTTAGAAGTGACTAATGCCTCCAATTCTTGAGCCTTTGGGGGATTCAGTTCCCAGATCCCCTTCTATTGGTCAGCATTTCAGCAACTCAGTACTTCACTTCTGAGGGGTGCCTGGGTGCTCAGTTGGTTAAGCGGCTGATGCTTGATTTCAGTTCAGGTCATGATCTCACAGTTTCTGAGTTTGAGTCTCACTCTGGGCTCTGTGCTGTGAGCCTGCTTCAGATCCTGTCTCCCTTTCTCTGCCCCTCCCCTACTTGCACACACTCTCTCTTTCTCAAAAATAAATAAATGTTAAAAAAATCAAAAAGAAGAAAACAAAGCTTCACTTCCCTCTTCCTTGCCACCATTCCATTTGCCTCTTACTCTCCAAACTTGTGTTGGCATTGTCTCCTTCTCAGGCGCCCTCCCTCCTACGGCTTATGGCTTATTAAAATGCCTTTACACAGGGGCTCCTGGGTGGCTCAGTCGGTTAAGTGTCCGACTTCGGCTCAGGTCATGATCTCACAGTTCGTGAGTTTGAGCCCCGTGTCGGGCTCTGTACTGACATCTCAGAGCCTGGAGCCTGCTTCTGATTCTGTTTCTCTCTCTCTCTGCCACCTCCCCTCCCACTGATGCTCTGTCTCTTTCTCTCTCTCTCAAAATAAACAAACACTAAATTTTTAAAAATGCCTTTACTCATGCAGTAGTGGTGTTGTGACGGTAAGCTGGCACCATTACTGAGAAGTAACCAGTGAGGCTCTCCTCATTTCTAAGATCTTTTGTAAGTGCTGTAAATAACCATGCTCACTCTTATTTGAAGGTTTCTTGGGCTAATCTCTGCTCCCCAGTGACTGATGTTGGGATGTTATAGATTGATTTCTCTTTTTTTAAGTTTATTTAATTATTTTAGTAATCTCTACACCCCATGTGGGCTTGAACTCACAACCCCAGCGATCAAGAGTCACATGCTCTTCCTACTGAGCCAGCCAGGTGCCCTGATAGATTGATTTCTATTGGTATAAGACAGTCAGACATCTATAGATTGAAATAGTGTATGTGCTCATTTATGTTTACTCAACCCACACTACAGAGAACTCTCAAGTGTAGCAGGACATTAGGGTTGTGAGGGTGTTCACAGGTTCCGAGAAAGAAAGACTAGTCTTCAGAAGGCAGGTGCAGGAGGCAAGAGAGAAATCTTTACATTCACAAGAGAGGACTGAATAGTCCCAACAAGAAACACAAAGGGCCAGAGATTGCGGCTCAGAGAGGCACACATGCTCTTGAATGCGATTCCAATGAAACATCAGGACATGACCTCTTAAGAAAGACCACTATTGATGTGTCCAAAGGCAGCTGGTCTGCTGTCTGTGGACAGGATGTAGTAGTCTGAGGTATGATTGAGTTACATTATGCTGACTTGGAGGTGGTTTTTTTTTTTTGTTTTTGTTTTTTTTTTAACCAATTTGGGAAGCTGCTTGCCTTAATGAAATTGAATGGGCTTGATGAAAACGGTAAAAACTGGGAAAAATGCTTCTTCGGGTCACCTGGCTAGTCCCCGGCCAGAACAGCATGCTGCTTAGAGACAGAAGCACTTGTGAGGATGGTTAGATTCCTTCCTTGACTAACGGGAGGGCCGACACAACCACAGGACAGGACTTGAAAGCATATCAGTGATGAG